CCTGTCTAGGTCCTGTCTAGGTCTCCTGCCCTCAGGAGCATTGACTGCACCCTCAAATTTGGCATCATTCGCAAACCTGATGAGGATGAATTGTCTCCTCTACCACATCACCAATAAAGACTGACAACAATGATGTTCATAGAGAGTATCTCCTATCTATGCTATAATAAAGTTCTTTCTTCTATTGCTTGTTCTCTGTACACTCACCTGTGGAAGAAAATTTGGACGAGGAGTGAGTCTGGGAGGAGGGATGAACTGCGGCACTTTTATGGGCTGAGGCGTAGCCTGAACCTGCTAGAGGAATGCAAGAGAGTTCAGTAAGAGGAAAATAGCTTTGAAGTTGTTCACCAAAATCAACACCCTGAATGTATTTCCAGACCTGATGTTCCTGGTTTTCCACACTAAACAATTTTTCACAGTAACAGGTTCTTCATTAGAAATTTATTAAAGGCAGAGCTAATCTTACTTTCTAGTTCCTACACACCTTGCTTCATAGCTTGAAAGTATCTTTTCTTTTAGTTCAATTGTACTAATTATTGTGCTCTGCAATCTAAAACCATTCCATTTGAAGATAATGAAAATGCCTATTTGTTTAAATAGTTAAAAATTGGCTATACAATGGACACAAAATAATAACGGACTTTGATGTCCAGCTATATGAACCATTGTCCTTTCACTGAATGGCATACAGAAGAATGAGAGAATATCTCATGCAAAGATGGAAGATCTGGAAGTTACAACTCTTTTAAGCGATATTATTGACAATATGAGGGGCTTTAAATACACAACTTGAAATTTTCAAAAGCAAGCCACTCACTTGAAACAATTAAGACCTGATTTTAAGGCATCCAAAGTACTTCCCTGTCTACCCGAAATCAGCTGGATGGAGCTGCCACATGATAAACTCTGAATAGCACTAGTAGCTACCCTGAGTTGAGTACTCATTGAGATTCTCTGAAATTAATGTCCACGTTAGTTCCCATCCTTCTGTACTTCTGCCCACCCACAGAAGATTGCAATTTACTTCAAAAAGGTCTTGTACTGATTAATTAATGCTTGGGAAAATATTCTGAGATTTTTGATGAAAATTGCTAAAGAAACATAAATCATGGATAGTTATTAAAACAGAATCACCTCCCCAAACCTAAGTAAGTTTATCAGCAAAGAAATGAAGCACAGATACAAAAGACAGATGAGAGTGGTGCAAGGGATGACATGGGAAGAGAGAACAGTAGAAAAAAACTCCACTCAAATAGTCTTCTCTATTCTGATTACAAACATATGCCTCATTAGGAAGCAAAATTACTTCCATTTGCATTATTAAACTGTATTTAAATAAAGATAAATTGGATTTATGTTTAGTGAAGCCTTTACCTTTACTCCAGAAGTAAAATTTCCCTGTCACAATGCCTGGTTTCCAGACCAAGAAGTCTATATAACCTGATTTTAAAACATTGCTTCTTTTATTTCTAGGCAGCTAACTATTCTGGAAAAGACTGTGTGATGTAATCAAAGCACTTTCCAAAATATATGCTTAAAGAAACAAGATCTGTATATGCGTGTGAAAAAGTGGTCAGTGAAGACATGGTAGTGGGCAGAGTTAAGTGATGTGCCTAACACCAGCGATTTTATCATGCAAAGGGAACGAGAGAAATTGACGTCAAAAAATCTAAGGTGAAAACCCAAACTCATCAAATGAAGAAAGTCTGACATCTCCTTCGCCAAAGAAAAGAGTCGGAATTCTGCAGAACACAGCCACATAGATTACGTAGGGGCGAAACAATCGTTACTTCCCCACGACTAACAATTACTAACAGGGGAAACTTTACACAGAGGTGATGATAGCACTGATTTAATTCTATAAAGCAAAACAGTAATAACAACCCATGTAGACAGCAAATGCTTTTCTCTTAGACTATCATTTTAACAATGTCAACTAGTGAACACTCATGACATGTCCCTACTATTCTCCCTTCTGTGCAAAAACCTGACTGCTAATTTTTATTTTTTTTCCAATAGCCCTCTTGTAAACTAAACCCACACGTATCTGCAGGGCAAACACACGAAACGCTTACCAAAGTTACTGTGTTTTTTGCCACTATTTGGACTGCCTCAGCTCCTGGCCCAGTGACCTTATTTGTTGTCTGGAGGTTGACTGGTGCATTCTGCGCATCAGTGCTGAGGACTGCTTTCTGATTGTTGTTGATAGCAGTAACCATGGCAATGGTAGGTCTCTGACCCACAACAGAGGCAGGCATGGTCGCAGTTGCTGCTTTCAAGACGAGAGGTAGTGTCTTAGTGGTGATCATAGAAGCTGTAGTTACAGTTTTCTAAAGGAAACAGAAAATACACTGTAAGAGACAGAGACACTTCTTATCAGACAGGACATGGGTTGGTTAGTCAGAAACAATAGACAGTAAGAGAAAGAAAAGGCAGCACTGAGTCTATCCACCTGATGTCACACAAGCACATTATCTAACGCCTCTGAAAACCAGATAGCTAGAAAGGATTCTCATTTGGGGCACCTGTGGGGTCTATTGTAATCATGTGCAGCATTACAGATTGATTCAAAACAAATTCCTGAGAAAATGACAATCAAGTGTCAGTAGCGGCATATGCATTTTTGGATCTTTTAGCTTCGTATTACTTCCAAATATATACTGTCAATATCAAACCGATAAGGTGGAGGTTTATGAAACATACCAGCATACTAGCTTCTCACCAATTAAACCTCAAATTTTCAAATGGAAACATTATTTACAGAGATGCTCACAATCAGAGGAAGAGGGGAAAAAACATTCATAAATTGGTTTCTTTAAGAACAAAAACATATTTTGATTTTGGCTATCCCAAACTTCAGGTTTAGTCATACATACAGTTATTTAGCCCTTAACTTACTTTCCTAAAAATATCAGTAGGGCTATCCTGAAGTTCTAAGAGCTGGCTGTTAGTCCTTCCAGCTGCAGGCAGTTAAGTTTAATTTCTGTGGAATGGGGTGGGTTTGGAACATATATGTGACGCCAGGATTGCTATCAGCCTGTTTTAAAGAGAGTGGTTTTGAATCACTTAATGCCAGCATTTATCTGAAATGCCTGAATACACTATGCCCACAAATTCCAAAGTTAAAACAACTATAATTTCATAGTTTTGTTTTAAAATGTACTGTCTTCTAAGACGTTAAGGGAAACGGACAATTACGAATCTCATTCAAAAGGCAACGAGGCAAGAGGGTCTCCATATAAAACCAGAACACAATGCACACAGAAAACCCATGACAAGTGACACTCACAAGAATGGCAAGTGAGCTTATTTCTTTTCTCTTTGGTGTAAAAAATCCATTGTACCAATGGCACTGCATCTTCAAAACAGTTATTGGCATGATCAAATGCTCTTAGTATGAAATAACAACTATTCCCTCCTGATGTCAGCACTAGGCTTTGTGACAGGAAAAAATGGGGAACCAGGGATCAGGAAGCCTTTCTCGTGTTCTGAACATGCCTCATTTAGACTCCTTGATTTTAATCACACAAGACCCTTCTCTTCTTTCTAATAAAGTAATATAAATATATTTCCAGTTGGATTCTTCAGTATTTTCACCAATATTATTTCCTTAAACAAAAACACAGTTTACCTTCACACCTCTAATTTCCTAATGCTTAAACCACATCCCCTAACTGCTAATTACGCGCAAGTACTTCTATTTTATACATTTATATAAAATCCAGACATAATTAACTTTTCCTTGTCACAACATGAACAATTCCCTAAACTTTTTATCTGAGAATCAACCTCTGCTGCACCTTCTCCAAAGCAAGAGGCTCCATTCCTCTAATACAGTAACATTATTCAAGCTTTTCCAATGAGATGTAACATGGTATCATTTTCACAAGTATTACAGTCATCCATAAACTAAACATTTAAAAGGAAAGTGTAATCAATCACGTAATACAAGACTCTGACTCTTTCAAGGGGTTCTAGTAAGTCTGTAAATATTAAGAGTATAGTTTCAGTCAGCAGATCGCAGAGCTTGAATAATGCTGAGCATTAATTACCTTGGTTATTCTAAAAGTTTTCAATGCATGAATTTATACCGAAGTGGCATTCATAGTAAGTCTGCATTATTTCACATAATAACATAACAATAACATGACCTTTTAGCAGGCTTGCTGCTTTATGAAAATTTTAAAACCCCTTCTTATGGGACCATATTAATTATGTTAAAATGTCACTATTAAGGCAGCATATATACCTTGATTCCTAAATTGAATTACTCTGAAAATAACCATTGAAAGCATTCTCTTTACTGACACAGCCTTGAAAAATGTATTTTTTACAAAAGTAGGCACAAAAAAACTTTCCAGAGAGACAAAATATTTGACTTTGCTGAAAGAGATCAAGGGGCAACAGGACGGAGGCACAATGTTAGATGTAAAATGTGTACAGAAGTAAGTAAGGTTACCTCAGAATTATACCAACATAAAACCAGAAGAGTGTTAAGGATAAAAGCTGGCTTATTTATTCAAATGAGAGGACGACCTGCCTTTCCAAGTACAACTGTATCACTGATAGAAGGGTGTAGCAGTTTTTTCACTGTTTCACTAGAGGGCTCTTTAACTTTGAACAAAACCTCAATTTTTACAACCCAGGAGATGACCTGGAAGTTAATGCATGAATGCAAAGTGTGGAATACAGAGAAACACATGAAACTGCTTTTGCAGGCATGTTTCCTGACTGAAAAAGAGAGACCAGTGATATAGCAAAGAGTGATCCATTGTTTGCCTGTAAATATTTTAGGACACAGTAATATTTATTTCTTTGTTGTGTTTTAGCTTTGATATTGATGTTACTTCTCAGAAATGTCTTTTCCTTAAGTTTGCTTCATTTCTTCAATACTCTTTTCTCAAAAATACAATTACCTAAGCCACACAAATACTTTTTTAGAGCTCATCCGAAACAACTTGTTGAGTTAATGAGAGAACTAACAGCCCAACCATTTCTCCCTTCTCTACTTCCAGGAAAAGGGAAGGCAAGAAACACAATCAGTGAAAGCTATGGTTGTGATTCACTGCAATGTGCACAAAGTCAAACTTCATGGGTGAATTCTGCCATCTGCCTATCCACGTTAACGTGAGCTGCTGAGATTGCATCAACAGGAAAAAAGACCTCACATATGCTTCTTTTTACAAAACACTTCCCTGCACTTACTAGCTGTTTTATTTGCACACTTTTGGGATCCTAAGTATTTGAAAAGGAGAAACCTGGAATTCTCCTCTTAGTAGAAGCAGACCACTTTCTCTGGTGAGATCTGGGATTATGTCTCTAATCCTATACTGTACTGAAATTCAGTGTACCTTCCCAATAAAGACACTACTTTCTAAAACTCAAACTTTGCAATTTACACTGTATACTTTTAGATGAATCCCTGCAAACTCAGGTAAGTATTATTTGATATGAGTTATATCTGTTTTAAAAGAACCAAGCAGAAAGAAGAGGGAACTCTTTCCTTATATTTTGTTCACACATTCAACGGGCACTCTGTCAGTCTTTTAAAAATATTTTCTTAATCATACACCTCACACAGAGTGCCTGTAAAGTCTTTACTGTTTCTTGAGACCTACTGGGTTAGGGTTAGGGACAGACAATCATTCATGCACCTATGAAAAAGACAGGTTCATTTGCTAAACTTTCATTTATTTGTAAGAAAGGTGATACTGCCACCCTTCTTTTCTGTGAGGTTATGATTCTACTTTTAAACACTACATAATTTTCTTTAGTTAGGAGGTTATTGCCCAAAAAGCCCACAAGACCCATACATGCATATGTATAGAAAGAAATTCGTATCGGTACACTAATGGGCACAAGCGAAAGTTCATCATTTTCTCTCTGCACTTTTCTTTGAATTTATGTTTTTTTTAGTGAACTTCACCTTTAGCAAGGAAAAGAATTATTGTAGAGATTTTCACCTGTGATCCAATCACATTTGGAGAGGGTGCAGTAGACTGCTGCTGCTGTTGATGGTGATGTTGCTGTAGCTGTTGTAGTGGTTGCGGCTGTGGTGTCTGTAGTTTGTTTTCTGACTGTGCCAACGGCTGTATTTGAAACTTACTGTCTGGCTGTTCTTGTTTCACTATCAAATTCTTTCGAAGCTGTTCCACCACTCTTTTCTACCAGATAAACAAAAACATAAACAGAAACGATGACAGTTATTCAGCTGCACATATTAGAGAAGATAATAACACCTAAAGTTACCTTTATTTAATGTGAATAAAGAACTGCTCAGTAGCTTAGTGGGATTTCTCGTTTTGGAATTTTAAATATTGGTGTTATCTAATGGGCACAGCGCCAAAATAAGCCACAGAGGAGTACCGCTGCCCAGCAGGGTGACCTTGCTGTCCTTGCAGAAAGCCACTCACCAAAATTCAGCCTATTCACAAACCACTGCAAGACCTCATGAATATATTCACTTGAGACTTGTTAGCATTGAGATTCGAAAGTTTCTGTCTCCTTCAAACATGCACCATTCCTACACAGTGATGAGAAAAGGACTTCAGGTTGAAGCTTCAAGGCAATGGGGATGCCATTTTGCACCAGGCATCGAAACTGAGTGGAGAGACAGCCAGTTTGAGTGAAAAGTGGGGAATAGGAAGGGCACGGATATATAGTCATTCTGTTCAGTATTATTGCCACCTGAAAGAAAATCAGATAGGGCTACCTACGTGGGAAGGAAACTGCACAGATTTATTTGTCCCAGCTTAAAAGGCTTCCTATTACATTATAGTTTCCATGAGTTTGAAACAATTTAAAAGAGAAGTTTCTTCTCCTGGTAGCCATTGTGTATTGTCAGCAGATCTAAGAGTAGACCAGGTGACCTGCAGGGTAAGTAACCACGTCACCACATGGGTAATAAGGGCTCATAATTTAGGTTCATATTATACTTTACTGTAACAAGGATGAAAACATCATGAGACTCTTCTACTTTCTGTGGGCAAGATAAAAAATGGGCATTTTTTTCCTACTCCAAACACCCCCAAATTAGCACAGCTTTAAAAAGATTTAGATATATACTTAAGGTCCCTTGATCAAGAGCACGTGCATACTGCAAAACAGTTATACAGCAAGGTTGGCTTTGAAGGAGGACAGTAAGGTCAACAGACATGGTAAGGGCTCAATTGAGAAAGTGGAAACAGAAATGGTCAGGAAACCTCTACCAGGTGCTGACAGAGTGGGCTGCCTGAAGCAGTTCCACTTACACAGAAAGGAAAAGAAAAAAAGCACTCTGACACATGTTTTTATTTTTGGTTTGAAGCATTAGTATTAAGACACAGCACAAAACAGAAAGATGAAACAAAAAAAAATCCAACTATTTACAACTGAAACAATTTTTTTCACTTTTTTTTCACACCGGATTATGAAATTCTGAGCTAACAAAACATCTGTTCTCTGCATCGTTCTCGTTGATATACTTTAGACTTTTGATTCTGAGTATCTTGCTTACGAGGAGTTAAAACTGCGCTGTGCCTCACACACTGAATGTGTACCTCTAGCCCAGAAGAAGGTAACAAAAGTTGTAGGCTCCCAAACTGGCAGGTTTGAGAATCGGAACTTTAAAAAGTCAAATAAAACACACAAACAGAAAAACCACCCCTGTTTCATAAGGCTGAAGTGTGTGAGCTCACATGACTGACCTTTTTGCAAAAGACTGAATTCAGCGACCCAGAGGTGTACAGAAGGAGGACTGCCTGGCTTCTACAACCCCCCCCCAGCCCTGGCTGGGGATGCATGCTCGGCTCTGATGACAAGAGGAACACAGGCCCAACCTCACCGAAAATTCAGGGAGTTGGTAATGGATGGCAGCATCTAAGAACTATTTTACACTGCATCCAGAAAAGTGCTAAAAGCTGTCAAAGCCTAAAAGCTGTAAATTGTTTGTTCCCTTCTAGAACAAGGAGAAAATAATAGGAGTGTAGAAGGCATTTTTCTAATTCAGATATTTTACATAGTTTTAAATGGCCCATGTCTATCAGCTCCCTCGTATATGTAGTAACTGAACAATCATTTAAAATTGCTTTCTGAAAAGATCAACCACGTTAACATGCAAACCAAAGTGCCATGTCAGCAAGCAGACAGAAGAGCTGAAAAAACATTTCCAGAGAGTAACCCGATAGGGAGGAGAGGAGAACAGAGCAAAGTAGGAGAGGAAATAATGCAACGTGCCTATGGAATACCTGCCAAAAAATGGACTGCACATACACTGCACGGGAGGCTAAAGAATTACTGTACCCGGCATGAACAGAGAGTTTCTGTCTTCCACAGCTGCCTGTATGAAATTCAGTGATAATAGTGCTCTTCTACTGATTCCCTAACTGGAAGAAATCAGCAGCAATGGCCCAAGAATTCATTTCCATCTTGTTCTTTACAATGGGAGGGAACATTAATGAAAGGATTAAAAAAAAAAAAAGTGAGAGAGGAGAGAGAGAGGCACGCTGGCAGACCCCTCTGCCATACTGCTATGGCAGGGCAAGAGCCAGCGAGGACAGGAGCAGGGGAGCAGGAGTGAGGTGAGTCACATCACATTCACATGCCGCCTGTTCCACCCCCAGGGCCCGAACCGCGGCGTGCAGAACTGGAGAAAAACAGGACCGGAGCACAACTTTTGTTAGCGCCTTGTGCAATAACTGAGGCTCAGCATATTTGGCACAAGATGGATAACGTGAGTGGAAAAACGCCGTTGCTCTGGAAGTCTACGCTAGCCTGTTAGAGGCTGCTGAGAGCTGCCTGGCAGCAGCATATCCTGCCATCCATATCCATTATGCAGATATTAAATTGGAAGAAACATCTAATGCTTTTAAGATTCAGAGAGTAAAACTGAAGTTTGCAGTGCATGCCAATTGCTTACGCAGTTTATTAAGCTGCTTCTACCAACTGTCAGTAAAAATACCACACTGAAACTACAGAAATAATTTTACTATTTGCAAGACTGTTGGGATTATCTGTTTGTTAGTACTGATCAAGAGGGACTCTGAACAACATATTCCAAAATTACTTCACTTAATTAGCAAAACCAGACGAGAGTCTCAGGGTTGCACCTATACAGGAACTAAGAGCAGATCTACGCCCATTTTCAGCACTACCCTCTGCTGCGTCCTCCTCTGCACAGTCTCAGCCCACGCCATCGGTCTGACACCGTACAGCTCCTCCACGGCGTCCTGCTGGAACCGCTGTTCTGCAGCCACACAAGAGCCCTGGCACGTGTCTGTCTGCAGCAACGTTAGCAGAGCCTCGTTTTGTAGGGGATTAAACAGGAAGACAGTATGAAAGAAACTTGTCTACAATCAGGTTTAATACTTCATTAAACCTGTATTTGAAATTTGTTCTTCAGTTATTTGACTGTTCTTAATCAATTTTGAAGGCGGTTTGCACTGCAGAAAGTACAATCTATATGACTGAAATTTGCCAAGGCTGGTATAAACTCCCAGCTACGTGCCTTAGAGATTGCCAGTAAGACTGAGGTTATCTAAAAGTACCACAGAACTCTTAAGAAATATTCCTAATTCTTTACATGTAATCATTGCCATTTTTCCTTCCCACTCTTATTTAAGAATATTTAATTTAATTAAATTCTTACTAACAAATTCAAAATTTTAAATTGAGATTCAGTCATAAACACATAAACATAAACACAACATAATAGCTTTCTGCACGTCAGAAAGCTCTAACCCTCCCCATATTACTAAAATAGTTTCTTTTCCTGCAACAGTAATGTACGAAAAGCATTTGTCTTTCAAGTTTACTGAATTTTCCTCAAAGCTGAATGCCAATCCTCTCCTTACATCCAGAACATGAAAGAAATTAATAATCACATCCCTTCTTCCAAACTGTATTCCACCCAAAAAGTAACTGCTAGCCCTCTGCAATGGTTACTATCAGACAACTTCAAAACCCATTTTCTCAAACAGTGCCCTGTAAGCATACTACATAATCTCATAGCTCTTGCTGTCTTGACATCTTCATTGCCGATGTCATCGAGAACTGTTCACACCACTGAGTTCACAGAGCCCCAGACATCTTATATGACCATTTCTTAAAGGTAATAATTGTAATCAGTGTTGTGACATTTAGCGATACCATTTTCTCATTCATACCACAGGCCCGGTCCTAACACAGCATTAGAAGATTATTTTGGTTTGATTAAGTGGAAAATCTGCCTCTGTGTCTTGTTGGCCATAGATCTGTGCCAAAAGGTGTCTTCTCTGTGCTCGTATAAAAAACTACCAGGAATATGTTGCTATAAGATAGGGAAAATCCTTGGAGCAAACTTAAAGCTTAGTAAGGTCTAAGTATAACATTATTAGCTAAGCATTGTTTCCATTTTAATCAATCAATCAATCAATCAATAACAAAGTAGTGATACATTTTCTTCTTCATCCAGGAAACACATTCAGAAAAGCATATGTATCTAAAGGACAGGCCTATCTTTAAACTTCAAAAATCTATAAAAATTAAAACATAAAAATCTTCTAAAAATGAGAGAGAAAAGTAAAGTACTAAACAGCCTTGCAATGCATATCTTTTATATCACGAAAACAAAGCTGATGTGGTTTGAATTGCTCAACTGCCTGCTAGTGACCCGCTTTCCTGCTCCACCAATTCCAGGAAGTCAGCTCTTAGGGATCCTCTGTTACCTGTTCCCTCTAATGACCAAGACATGGTCTCTGGGATAAAAAAGTTGCCAGCTGCTGGGAGTGAAATGGTAAGAGAAAGTACTGATTTGAAATAAGCTCCAACTTGGGAGTGGGGAAGATGGAGGGAATTTTACCGCTCTGCAATCTTCCTTTCCGGCCTTCCTCCCCTCTCCTTGCCACCCCCATCCCCTGCCGCTACCCAGAGACAAGTGAAATATCTCTGCGTTTCGACAAAACAGAAAGACATCAAAACTTCCATGGCAGAAAGAAGCGAAAAGATTTTGAAGCCCTGGCACAGTTAGTCTTTAACCTGCAAAGAGGGTGCGTTTTGGGAGTGGAATTTGGAAGTGGAAAGATTGCAAGCAAAGAGAATAATTGTATAGTCATCTGCTGCTTTAAGATAGTATCTAAAATTTAAAATAGTGAAATCCAATTATAGAAATTGATGACGCAGAATCTACACCAGTGAGGAAAAAACTCTTGTACAAAACAACTGGAATTTAATTCCATTGAAAGAGTTATCAAAGGACTACAGAAATATTTTCAGCTCTTTCTGTGGTTACCCTGTATTTTTATGAAATTTTGCACTTCTGGCTGTGCTTGACTCATACCCAGATCTTCTTATCAACAAAAAGAAAAAAACAACTAAATTAGAAAAAATTTTATTCCAAGAAAAAAGTGCGGTATAATTTCCTACTTCTTGAAGGTGATCAAACTGGCACCTATATCCTTCAGTCAGAAAAGATTCTCTGGGGCAGGGGTCCTTGTGTGCTGAAGGGGAACGCAGCAGTGGGACTGGGAGACAACCTTCACCTCATCCTTCAACACCTTACTCAGCATGATTGCTGAAATGGGCACTATTTCTTTTTATAGTTTAAAAAACCTAATTTATTTTTTTAAGCTTTTGTTAAATACACAGATTTCTTAACCATACCCAGTCAATGGCTCCATTGCCAACACTCCAGTAACCGTCCCAAAGAGCACATGCTGCATTCAGCCCACAGAAAACATGGCTAAAAGCTGCACAAAGATACAAGGACTTCTCCTGAGTGTCTAAAAGGGGCTGCGGAGCATATTAGGGCAACGGAATGTTTCTCCTCTCTCTGCCATGATGGTCCTATGGGATAAGCTGAGCAATACACTTATGATGCTGATGAGCACTAGAGATGGACCAAGACAGTACAGATAATTTTGGTATTCCCTAAATTAATGAGCTTGCTTTGCAGTCTTAATATCTTTAATATGATTACTGAATACAGCACAGAGTACCTTGTGTAAAACGGTATTTAAATAAAATCTTCATTCCATAAAAATCTACTTTGACATTTTGTCAGATAAATGTTGTTATATAGCATTGGCATGATGTGAAAAGTATTTTTGTCATTAAAAATACTGGTAAACTTATTACACTTCATTATATTTTAGACTATTTAAAATAATTACTGCAGGTGTGATTCTGAAACAAGTAAACAGTTCACACATGAACATACGTACTTTGAAATACAATGTGGGATTTTTTCCTTTATGATAGAGGAACACTACCTGAAGTTGCTAGAAATCATTCAGAAGTGAATTATGTCAGTTCTGAAAATAATGTTCATTCTTTCATTCTTAACAGGGGAGAATGCTTATCATTTTTTAAATTTTATTTAAAAATATAGCTAGAATTATAAATGAAAATGACAAAAAATAGCTGCTGTGCCATTCTGCTTTATGTGACTTCTTGATTGCTTTATTTTCAGTACCATGTCTTTTACCATTTGCAGCACCGCAAGACCAATTAATTTTTGGAAGGGAATGTTGTACCATAAAATGCCTTATGCATCACTGTCTTCCCATTTTAGAATTTTTACTCTTGCAAAAGGTAGGGAACAGAGACTGAACTAGTAGGAACAGTACACATATGTTTTCCCACAGCTCATATATTAAATAGATGTAATATTTATCTTCTTATCCTAGTACTTATGTTAGCAGAAAGAAACTTGCAAGAACAGCTACAATAATTAAACAATGAAGCAATTAATGAATGGAGAATTAAGTGTATGACAACAGGCAAAACAGAACAGGAAAAACAGTTAAGTGCAGTACTTCGAATGTAATTAAGGAGGAATGGAATGAAAGGAATGAAATTAATTTCTTTTTAATTTGACAAGGTTTGACAAGGTTTGTTTTGGTTTAGGTTTTTCTGCTTCCCAGAAATACTCCCAAGTACAAATACAAACTGGTAAAAGGATGCGGGGATCACCTCAACATGAAAAAGCTGAAGAAATGAAAAAATTAAACTGCTGACTACCATGGAAAATTTTATCTTGCCCATCTCTCTATTGTTCTATCCCCATTTGTCTGTTTCAGGGAAAAAAATCTCATTAGGGAAAAAAAAAGCCACCTAGATTGTGCAGAAATGAAACAAGGGTTCTTTTGTACTTCAGCATAAAGTATGTTTCTATGATCTCCGACTGAACCTAGCTTTCCAGAAGTGTATAATGTGGTCTTGTAAAATCTGTCATGCACCGAAGCTTGGGATATAAAATCTCAGCACAAAAAATAGTGTGGATTATTATTTCTATGCAGGAGAACACACAGGAACAACCACCCCCATGGGAAAGCAATTCACATCTATACACGGTAGCCAGTTGCCTAAGCTAAACACCTCTGCCAGGGAAGTCCCGCTGCTTCTCTTCTCCTACCTCTGATTTACCTCATAATGTGACAGCCTTTAAACTGAATTTGTCTGAATTAGGCAAGCACAGCAATTGAAATTAGAAAACTTATTTAATGTTTTAGAAACGATCAACCTAAATAAACTCTACTTTCTAACCTGGTAACTCCTCACATGTTTGAATAACCCAAATAGAAAGGACAGTCATCAAGCAATTTTACAGCGTACTGCTGCACAGTAACACAGTCCCTTGCCTAAAAATTAATCAGCTTCAGA